AAGCTTGTGAAGAATCCAAGGACCCCGTAAAATACCATATAAAGCTGTGTCTCGTCTCCTAAGCGGCGTATGATGCCTGCTGCTGTAACCTGATTTCCCTGGCAGTGCTTTACACGTGAGAAATTTGCTTTCCTGCCCCATTAGAAGACGGGGATGGGAGGGGACAGAGTTTTTGTTTGCTTATTCTTTCTGGTGGGTCTCCTGAACCTACAAGACAGCTCTAAAACACGTGCTTTGTGTTTTCTTTGTGTGCTGGAAACACGATAAGCTGCAACTCCTGATCCCGTGTCAGTAGGACTGTCCTTTTATTTAATTTATTTTGAAGGACAGCCTTGCTTCCACTGGAGGAGAGTTATTCAAGGAGCAGATGTAGCTGCCCACCCCCCTGAAGGCATTCATTTGCTTCTGCGAGCTGTTTCCAGTCTTGATGGAAGAACTCTGAGGTCAGTGGCAGCGTGTGGCTGAGGTAACACAGGAGCCCACAGACGCTGTCCATCCCCACAGCCTTCTCCAGCACGGTGCCCTTGTCCTCTGTGGACTTGCCACCACGGTGTCCCAGCACGGTGGGTGGGCTCCTGGTGTCGGAGAGAGCCGGGAACGGGCCGTGGCCCCGCTGTGCTGTGAGTACCGGCTGCGGGTAGGGGCTGGCGGGGACCAGGTTGGGATGGGGGGAAGGATCCAAGAGTTCTTGGTGTGGCTGAGGATGACCTTAAGTAGGGGGGGAGACAGGGGGAAGGAAGATTACTTTCCTGTCAGAGACAGTGACCTTCCCAGCAGTGAAGGTACTTTCAAAATGCTGTTCCCTAGAAATCATTAAAACTTCACAGAGACTTGTTAAAAAATTACTAATTTACTCCCACCCAAGAAGCCCCAAATCAGTATAATCTCTAGTAGCCTGACTATGTTCTAAAAAGTAATTATGCAAATTCCAAAGGTCTATTTATGTGTGGTTTATTGGAAAGGAGAGAGCTATGTCATATTACAGGATCCCATTAAAAATGTGGCTATAAAAGGATTTGGATTTTCAGAACTGATCTGTGAAAAAGAGTGACTTGTATCCAGCAGATGTGATTCCAAAGCGTGGTGTGGAAATGGCAGGGTGGCAAATGGCAAAATCAATGCACATTATTTTTGTTCTGTTTCCCCAGTCGTTCAAGATACACTGCTTCCCAGCTGCACTGCCCCTTGGGCACAGGCTTCCTTGGGATTATGGCATGGAGGAAGAGCATGCAAAAAAATATATATATTTAATAATCTTGGAGTCTTCAGGAATGAAATTTTCCCATGTCCCAACAGGAGCCCTGAACTGGCTCTTTCTCTCTCTCACACTGTGCGTGAGATATAACTACTCGTGGGAAGCTCCGTGTACGTCTGGACGTGTTTGTTGGACTTGGACAGAGCCATAGTCACGGTCCACGCTGGGGATTTCCTTACGTGGGCACAGCGTGGGCAGGGAAATGGTCACTCCCACGTTTTTAAAGTGTTTTGGTAGGAGCCAGCCACAGCAGGAGAGGCAACAGGAGCTCCACTCACAGCAGCGTTCCCCTCCGAGACCCACTCCCAGTAGGAGATACTGTCACCACTGGTGTCACCACCTGATGAGGCCATTGGGACCAGTCAGATGCTACCCAGAACCGCAGCCCCGCGCATATCGCTGTAGGTATCAACATCTGCATCGTGTAATCATCATCACCTGCGATGGGAGAGACAGGACTGGTGATTGCTGGTGGGCACTTGAGACAACCCACCCACTGACCAGAGGCGCCCACCCTCTCTCCTCCCCAGCTGCATACACAGACTAGTTTTGCTGAGGAAGATTACAAAATCATGCTGACAACTTCCTTTCTGGGCTGTGTACTTAATAATAATCAAAGCCAAATGTGAAAAAATGTTCTTTCTGATGAGAGAAGTGTGCTGCCCAAATTTGCTTCCTATTTATACCAGTTAAATGTGGATGAAATCCAGGTCTTTTTTTTCCTGTAATCTACTACCCACCCAGTCAGAGCTGGGAAAGCTTCTTCTGGCAGAGGCTTGTTTTTAATATCAGGGCTCTGTTTAGTGTCAGCTTCTCCAAATGAAATCAACGTTATCATCCAACATTGATGTGATTACTTTTATAAGTTGCAAGGGATGAATAGCAGAGGAAGGCAGGAAGAACAAGCCCTGTAATAAAAAAGAAGGGCTTTTTAAAATGGAGAAACATAAGTTAGTTTTCTCCATGGCTGATGTTTTGACTTCCATCTGCTCCTCTATGAAAAATAGAAATAACTGAAAACTCAGAAGGGGCAAAGGTAGTAGATTTGTTGTAAGTTGTGTGCCAGCTGATAAATTTCTGAGATTTGCTGTCACTTCCTCTTGAAGTCAGAAAGGAAACTGGATCAGTGGAAGCAACACCATGGAGTAATCAGCAACCAACTCAAAGTTACTTGGGGCTGTGTTGGATTTGCATTTGGTGAGTGTCTCTGTCCATCATAGCTGAGGATCACAAACACTTTGCCACAAACCATTGTACATACGTCACCACCTTCTCTTCATTGTTATTCCCTCTTCAGGAAAACTGCACGGGGCTTGTAAGTGTGATAGTGTTCATGTGTTCTGTAGTCCAACATCCTGATTTCTTGGTGATGATATTCTCCCAACCAACAGTTGCTCCTGAAATTAGGCTTAAAGGTGGAATGTGTTTAGAAGAGAGACGAGGGGTTTGTGTGATCGGAGTATGGAACGCTTTGCATCCTTCAGAGTTATCTGGCTGCTCACTAGTGGTGCCAGTGTCAACTGACAGCTGTTCCAGTTCTGTTTCCACTGAATGCATATTTGGGTTATACAATCTGTTGGAATAAGAGGTTTTAATTTGCTCCACAGTTTATGATGTTTCACTGTGTAGAAGCAAAAAATAAATGGACAAGGTGTCTGGACTTGATTTTATACTTCAGCTGAGGCTGAAGAGTTTGAGTTGAATTTATCCAGTGCTGTGATTAGCATCCAGGTTTCCAGATCTAGTGAAGTATTTTGAACTCTAGGCTGCACTATATAAAGTCTTAAAACTTATAGCACAAGAAAAGGAGGAATTTTAATTGTTCAAGTCTGTGACATTCTCATTAGTCATAGAAATCAGAACTCTGACTGTCTAAGGCCTGTTAATTTGCTGAAAAGTGCTGTTTGCTCAGCTCAGCTTCAGCATGTGGGTGTCTCTTCCCTTCTACTTTTTTTTTCCCCCCTGTTTTTGTTATGGATGAAAGCAACTTTGAAAGAAAAATTGTGGGTTTTTTAGAGCCTGGATGAATAGCCAGGGCTGAACATTCAGGGACTTTGTAGAATGGATTACTGGACCTTGACTCGCAAAGGTCAAAGTTGCCTGTTCTTGATGAGAAGCAGCAATGCAATATAGTCTTTACCTCCTCAGTAATTATGCCATGAACAGCTGTATCAGTTTCTACAATATCTGGTTGAGCTGCTCCCTCTAAGATGTTAGTCCCAGCTTAGGAGGAATAAAATTTGGCCAGTATCTGTTTCTTTTTACCTGTATCCATCAAGCAGAATTGGCTGCTCCTTAGATTTTAGTTTAAAGACAGAGCTAGGAGACTCTTCTAGTGTGGATGTGGGATTCCTGACGCTACTTTATTTTCACCTAATCATCTGTGTGTGGAGCACATTAATAGTCCATTTCCAATTTATATTGGACTTTAAATTTTGAGGAAACTGATGAACATTCATTTAGACAGAACTGAAAGTTCAGGCCTTTCAATGCTTTTTTCCCACTGTGTCTGTGATGAGTTGTTGTTTTGAAGAAGGAAGAAAATGAATCAGTTTTTTTATTTCACTGCTGAGCAATGTGAAACAGAGGAGTGAAGGTGAGCCACGGTGGACTTCACAGCCAGGTATTTAGGATGGCTCTTGCTTTTTCAAACCATGTTACTTTAACAGTGAGCAAGAACTGTCAATTAACTTTCAATGCGTACAGTCACACAGCATCATACATCATTCCTACTGCAAACACTCCTCCTTTGTGAAGGTTTTCTGTTCTGTAATTGAAGAGCAGATCCCTTGGATGTGGGAGGAGGTTGTGAATTTGGAGAGTATGTTTTAAAATATCTGTCTGTCTGTGAAGCCTGTTATGTTTATTTCTTGACCAGGTGCCTTATCAAGCTGAGCCTTTCGTGTTTCAGGGAAAGGGACATTCTTGGCAAAATAGAGCATTTACAGATTATGAGTCTTCTAATGAGAGGTCCCTGAAAGGAAGCAGGCAGAGGAGTTTGCTTTGCAGAGGAAAATCCATAAAATATGTCTAGAAAAAGATGAATCGCTGCTGCCTTCAAGTAAATGGTGTTCTTACTGAGAGGGTTATCTACAGGAATGTTTGTGTGTCTGACAACATCTGCACAGCCAGGGATTAGTAAGAAATTGTTCTGAAGCACATGGAATGGTCAAGACAATGTGACTTTGATATAGCTGTACTGCCCAGACAAGGTGGTGTAGGTATGGGGATGGGAATGCGTAGCACAGGTCAAGGGAAAGGTGGTTTTATGGGTGAGATATGAATAGAATTCATCAAGGAATGTTGTTTAACATTTTCTGTGCTGATAAGCCTGTTCATACCAAACTCAAATTGTGTTGTCTGCTGCTTTTCCAAGATTTTCAGGTGTACCTTCCTATTAACATCAACTTCTCATGTCCTTTCTAGTTGATGTTCTAATACCATTTTAGCGCTTGTTCGTGCCTGCCACTTCTGTCTTGATCCGTTCATGGCTTGCCCGTGAGCTGAGCCATAGACAAATTAAAAAGTTAGGAAAAAGGTAGGTAGGCAGGCAGGCCAGCCAGGGGATTAGGCTTTCCAGCTGCTGAACGAAATCAGGTTCTGCAAAGAGCCTGGTTTCATCTTAAGGATTCTCTGGCAGAACTGTCTGCAGCTGTCAAGATCGATGTTGTGCTCTTCACAGTTCCACTTTTTCCGTGCTCTTCCTTTTTTTCCTAGCAATACTCCATTTCTGTTGTTTTTACAGTCCCTCGGATCAATGGTCATCCAAAACTGGACAGACACCGTGAACACCCTCCTGGTTATGACAGCGCTTCTACCATGATGAGTAGTGAGCTGGAATCCAGCAGCTTCATTGACTCTGATGATGACGACAACACAAGCAGGTAGAGCACTGGTGTGGTGATTGAGCTGGTAAACACTGTTTGCATCTGTTTTCCAGTGACTTGACTGGGCTTTCCTGACTCTTGATACTGCTGACTGGTGAGAGGAGAAAATTTGTATCTTCTCTTCCCTGACCCTTTTTCTTTTTAAATTTTCCTTTATTTTCTTTTTTTTTCCCTGCTACATGTGATTTGAGTGCTGATAATTCATCAGTAACAACATGTTTCATATAATCACTGCTCTGAGAAACAAGCTGAGTGATTAGGGTTGTTATCCAAGCTGCCTATAGCCACTGTTCCAATTAGGAGAAAAATTCTCTTCCTGTTCTTTCCTTTTAGTAGCAAGAATGATCACATTTTAAGATCAAAGCAATGTGCAACTGTCTGCTTATTTATAAAGTAATGATGTGAATATTTAACAATATACCTTCAGCATATATTCCTAATAAATATGCACTTCACTAAAGCTGAATTGTAAAGGAGTCCCAGTGTAATTGCATTGAGCAGGACAGGAATTCATCAAAGTTAATGCTGTTGCAAAGGCAGGCTGTGATGTCATATATTTATGACTTCTTAATTATTTTTTCTGTTTGCACAGAGTGTGAATTATTCCTTTATTCTTGCAAAAAAAGCTCTCAATTTCAAGACGTCCTTGTTAATCTCTAAAGATATTTTTATTGTTCTGTAAAAAAAAAAAGCCAATACATTTATTGGATTCAAAATGCCTGTTTTTAAAGAAGTAAAATACATCAGAACTAATATTCTTCACTTTTCTGGCTGCAGTGACAGCATTCTTTGAACGCTGTTGTGTTCAGAGACTCTCTAGAGCTGTTGTTCATCCAGCTGAGTTATGAAAACCCATTACAGATTTCTAGTAATTGTCAGAGAAAATAAGATTACAGGTCTCTGATGGTTCATAGGTATCTGTAGCTAAAACAACTAAGATGCAACATGATTTTTCTTAAATTCTAGATAGAATGGAAACAGCAAAGAACAACTGGTCCTGGAGATACTTAAGCATTTGCTGTGTTTACAAGAGGATTATTAGCTTATTGAACTCAGTGGATCTATTTGGTCTTGCAGTTAGTCACAGCTTAAAAACCTGTTGAAGAACAGCAATTCCTTCAGTTTCTGTTTAAAGGCTGGGTGTTTCCAAAGGGTTGAAAGGATGGCTAAATTAACATGTTCAGTTTTGGTCCTGAATTAGTTTCAAGAACTTGTTTTGCAGTTACAGTGAAGTTGCCAACACCTGAAGATACAGAAAATTAACCTTCTGGATGCTTTGTACTTCACCCGGATATTCATGTGCATAAAGGGTTGGCAAGATCAGTAGTTAACCTGAATGTACTCTCAGCCTTTAGGGCTTCTAACCCTTCTTCCCTCCCTAAAAATATCAAACCCACAAAAACAACAACAACCCTGCAGCTGATTTTGTTTCTTATAAATAAATTAATCATTTCTATGGCAGCAAGATATGCAGTAGGGCAGGATTAGCACAGTCAGGGTGGCCACTGAAGCACATTATACTAGACCCAGCTAAATCTTTCTATATTAATAAAGTAAAGCTTCCTGCATCTGACCTGAGAAGAGAGAGACTCTCCGAAGCTGCTGCGCAGGCCTTTTCCTTTCTAGGCGAGGGCAGAAGCTTTTGGCACACAGAATAGCTGCCAGGCCAGCTAGTCAGGAAGAACAACTGAATGGAATGCTCCGAGGTATGCTGTTGTGTTACAGTGATGATGTTCTCGAGCAGATGAGGGATTGTGCTGGCAGGGAGAAGTTTTCTTCAGAGGCAAATACAGCCAAATAGAAAATGGAGCATGCTCCAGATCTGCTGGAGACAGCGGCCTGGGGAAAAAGAGGTTGAAGGGGGTAAGTTTGTTTAATAACAGCTGGTGAACTCTGGTGTCAGAACCTGCGTTGTAAAGGAGATTGTGCATGGAGGAGGTCACTGAGAGAAGGACTCAGGTGTAAAGGATGTTGTTGTCTTGGAAGTGAAGAGGTTGTAAGGTTGAGAATGCTTTTCTAACAGTGTGTGTTCGACGTTGGCTTGTTTAATTTTTAACTTGGAGCAGGGCAGCAGAGTTGTTTCATTTCCAGTCCAAGGAAGTTCTGTTGCATGTACTTAGAGAGAGAGAATAATTTTTTCTTTCAGTGAATTAATTTGTTCACAAATATTACAGGATAGTACAGAACCCTTCAAGTAGTGTGAGTGCAGTAATTGCTTTCCTTTGTTTTCAACATATGATATAATTGAACATTAGTGTTATTTGCAGGTAGAAGTTGGTATTTTGAGTACAGATTGATGCAGGGAGCTCGTGCTAAACTTTACAATAAGAGTCTTGTTTCTGCCTTCTATTAAGCAAATAAAGGTCTAGGAGATATGACAGCTGTAGGATTATTGTCAGCAACTTGCAATTAGTATTCTCAGTTCAACATAACTAAAATAATTCACTACAAAAAAATTGATTATGTTAATTTCTCATTTAAGAAATTAACATTAGTTCTTTGTAAACTATATGGATACGCTTTCTTTAACAAACTGTTACCTGCTTTTCCTTCCTTTGGGAAATGTAGATGGGATAAATTATTATTATTATTCTTTAAAAAAACTCTTCTATGGGATTTATTAGCCTTTCTGTTGGAAGTGCAGTCAGGTTTTTAGCCAGTGGCTAGTGCAGGAAATTGGTAGTTATGATTCCAGATTTGTTTTTCATCTTTGCACTTTATTTTTCCCAAAAGCTCAAAATACACCATCTTGTTTTGCTCATTAAATTGTAATAATAACTTTTACTCATTTCTGGGAATAATTTAGAGATCAAAATATTGTTCCTCATTAGAATATGTTTGAGCTGCTGTTTAGCATCCAGATACTCCTGGAATACGAGATTTGCAGTGTTGATGAATGATTTAGCTATGGATTTAAAAGAAATTACAAGAAAAAATGAAGTGTACCATAGCTACATGAAAATAGATAGAGACTTAACTCTTTTTTAAGAAATTGCAGAGACTGTGAAACCTGATGGTTACAAATATGCTTTCAGAGAGTGTGGGAGTCTTGCTGAAACAGGCTGTCTTGCCTTCTACTTCCACATAGGTTTATGAAGGCAACTTAAGGCATTTTCCAGCTTCCCCCAAGAAGGGATGAAAAAACTGAGTAAGCTCTACATTTATGGTTCCCCCAGTGTAATAAGTAACATTTTCTTATGTTTATCTCTATAGAAGCCAATGTATAAGCATATCAAAATGTTTCTGCACTGCCTTCTGATCACCAGTTTTGTGCAACTCATGTGAGAGGATGTTTTGGCTCGAGTGGTTACTTCTCTGAAATATTTTCTGTCCTCTTCAACTAAACCTGAACTGTGGCTTTTCTAAGGAGCTGATTTCAGGCAGGTGTGGCTTTTGATACAGTTTTTCTCTCCATTTTCTTTCTCTGCTGTATGAACATTGCTAACTTAAAATTGCTTTTTACAGTAGGCAGTGTTAGCCAGAGGCATTATCCCTTTCAGGGACGTAGTAATAGATATGAATTAAATTAGTTCTCTTTATCCACAGTAACCATTAGAGGATGCCATTCTAGAAAGGCTGGTGACAGGAAGTGTTGCATAATCCTTAAGTGATGCACAGTGGGGTAAAGCCAAAAATAGGATATGGCAGGAGGTGAAATTTGTGCATAGACAATGAAAATCAATTGCCTGGATGCTGTGAAAGACGTTGAAGTATGATTCTAGTAACCAAAAGGACAGATAAAATGTTAAGGTTTTGTCCTTTCTGTTATGGACTAGTTCAGCTGTCTCCAAAACTAGTGGAAGGTCTTGCCTCGTTGTGTGAAAGAGCAGGGCTTTCACACACCCTTGTGTCCTGTCTGCAGCAGGGAATAGAGCCTGTGAGCAGAGGGTTTTGCAGGCTGGAGCACTGAATTCATACTCTAATCAGTGGAAGAAGGGCACTCACAGATCTCTCATAGCTTTGAAGGTATCTTGTTGTTTGACTTGTGTTTATGCAGAAAAGTTCCCCCAGTCTTTTGCCTCCTTTCTTTTTGCTGCCCTTCTCAAAGAGCAGGCAGCTCCTAAAGTCTTGTGTGCTGGGAAGTTTTAGCTGAATCCTACTAACGAGACACTCAGGGAGAGAAGAGGAGGAGAATGAAATTGGTGAGGAAATAAGAAGAGGGAGAGTATTGGTAGTTAAATGTTTTTGTGTCAGTATTTGCCAGTACTTTCAAGAAGAGTCGTGAATGTTGAACAAGTCCAATTTTGGGAGCCCTGCATCTGAGAGATCTCTTCATTTCTCCTCTTGAAAAGGTAAAGCCTCAGAAAACCAGGTGTTGTGTGCTGTTTCCACAGATGGTAAATTATCAAATTTTTGATCTATTTTGAAAATACCACCTCATGTCTCTTTAAATTAATTAGCCTTGGTGGGAGGGGAAAAAAGGAATGTGTGAGGTTAACATGCCTGAAATAGTTTTGTGAACTTAAAGAGAATGGCAAGAGATTCACACCCTCTGAGCAGTTCCATCAGCTGTAATATTCAGCTCGGTATGCTTGACTGAAACACACCTCCTTTATGCACCATGGGTTTCCCAGTGTGGTGGGCTGTAATCTCATGACAGCAAACTCCTTTTTGAAGTTGCTGGTATCAAGTTTTGCTGGAGGTAATTAGCACTCCTGCATGTGGCTAGAACTTTGAAGAAGAGGGACATGGAGACTGGGAAAAAAGACTGGCACTGTTTTCTTTGTGACAGTGCCAGTTCAATTACTTGTGTTTGTATAGGGTTGGATTTTTGTTAATCTTGGTTAATGATGGAGCATCACTTTGTCTTTTTTTTGCCATTCTTAACATAATAAATAGAGGAGAGATGTCTCTGTGGTGTTACACTGGTATCTCTGAAATCTAGGCTTCGTTGCAGGCTTCTGAAATTAATTTAGGCAAATCCATTTATGTCTTTCTGTGTCTCAGTCCACTGTCTGTAAAATGAGCATGATTAACATTCCTAACTCTTAGGGGCATTTGAGGATTTATATGTAGCATGTGGCACATTTAGCTTCTACAAGTTTGAAGAGCCTGAAAAAAACCACAACAAAATAAAACTAACAGACTGTGTAAAGGTAAATGATATTCACTGTTCCTCTGTCACTGTTTGGTAGTAGCTATTCTCAATTGCTACTTTATTTCATTGAGTTCAAGCCCCAACGTTAGGTTCCTGTTAACAGGGTAGGTAACAGCAGAAGAAAATAACACCATGACAAGACTCAAAAAAAAAAATTAAGAGATTCTCCATGTTGTCTGTTGTTCTCTCAATTGGAGATTAAAATAATTGTTTAATGTGCAGTTGTTACTATAGTGTGCATTTTTCTTTGATGGGCCTGGAATCAGGAGCAGAGGGAGCCAGTAAATTATACTCTCTAATCCATGCTGTAGTTTAGCTGGTCTCTTCTCTGTGCTCCTAGGGAGAGGCTGAGATACACACTGGGACTGAGCAGCAGTTCAGCAAGAAGCAGAGCAGTGCGTTGTAAGCTGGCTGGTGGTGTCTGCATGATTTACTCTCTCCTGCTTTTGTAGGAATCAGCCTTTTTTTGGCAGGGTGCAGAGAAATGCAAATGGCTCAGCTTTCTAGAGTTGACATTTGCTCTCGATTTCCCTCAGGTTGAGTAGCTCCACTGAGCAAAGTACTTCATCCCGGCTCATACGGAAGCATAAACGCAGGAGGAGGAAACAAAGGATGCGGCAGATTGACAGGGTAAGGTTGGCATCATCATTTTCCAGGGAGATGAATTGTGATTTTTGAGTGTAGCCTGTGAATTAGGAAGGGATCCAGAACAGATATGTGCCCTGTTGAATTCATTGCAAAGGTTCCCTTTGGCTCCCATCTACCCTGAACTAAACCTCTAACATTTGAAGTTCTGCAGCACTAGAGTCAAGACTCTTTTCTCCTCTTCCTTTCTCTTTTTCCTGTGAAGTGATTGCATTTCTTCTTGTCTCTTTCAAGACCGGAATCTGTAGGAGAAACTCCATTGTGCTACTGGCTGATGTGGGCAAGGGGTGTCTGTGATATTAGACATCTGATGTATAAATTGCTGAGACTTGCATTCTGCTGGGAGGAGAAATCTGAGTTTATAGGAAACTGCAAATCTTTTCTCTCACCCTTTTTTGCACTAGTCCTGTGGTAGCAGAATGAGGATGGTCCAGATGATGTACTTCTTGATGTAGCTGTTTTGTTCTCCTATGAATATCAGTCTTCAGAGATTAAAGAATGAGTATGCATTCATTTTATCACCAGAACTGGAGTAATGTTATAGCAGATGCTTGATAAGCACATTTGTATTTTATTTTGGAGGGAGGGGAGTGTCTGTCTTCTCACTTCCTGAAGGATCATGTGTTGATCACTCCTCTCTTTAGGGAGGAGCTGAGGATGTAATAATTCACGCTGCACTGAGCACTTTAGTATTTAAATGTCTTCCTGTCAGTCATGTAGTCAGAAAGCAGAAGTGATTCAATGTGAGGTTCAGCTGAGAAACCTCAATGCAGGAGCTTGCTCTGTGTGTATTGTAAATAAGTCTTTGGAGAAAGTGCAGATTGCGTTCAGATTTTTTTTCCTTACAGATTGTAAAAGAAGAATAATTTTGGGGAAGCCACAGTGGTTTCTGGATGCCTTCCAAATGAAAACCTATTAATAATTTCCCAATCAATTAATCCTCAATAGTTATTTTTATTGTCTTATTTTGAGCCATTTAAAACCTTGAGCATTTTCTGTTATATTTTGCAGTCGTCTTCGTTCAGCAGCATCACTGATTCTACCATGTCCCTAAATATCATCACTGTCACACTCAACATGGGTAAGAGGATGAGCAATGTTTTTTTATGATGAATTTTAAGTGGTACAGATGTATTTTGTCATGGTGTAGTAGCCTTTGGAGCCAGTAGAAAGTTCTTTGATGGGAAAGGATCCCAGTTGAACTAAAGGGAATGGCAGCTGAGAGTTGCTGCTCTGTTGACTGTGCCTGGATTCCTAGTCCAGTACTGGAGCCATTTGCACAAGCAGCTCAGTATTCTTCCTGAGAAACCCAGGGAAGGAGCTGGAAATCCAGGATACAGAGTTCTGCTCTTACATCTAGGAACGGGAAGGGGTCAGACATTATTAGGAGCAAGAGTAGAAGGGCACTGGAGGTTTGCAGTTCTGCTGCTCATGCGTTTCATTGTTTAGCCAGATAGAAATGTGCAGGACTGCCAATTCAGCACCTTTCAGTAGCACCAAATTCTTCCTGCCACTCTTGACGTGTGGAAAAAACATTGCCTAATGCTGATGGGGTGCCTAATTACTAGGTGTAGATGTGTCTTTTCAATGTCATTTCTCTCGCTGATTTTTTGAATGTAACTTTTCAGTGTCTTATATGAAAAAATAATGTCTTTAGCAGCGTTGCCTTTCCCTGACCGTGCCAGGCAGACATATGCCAATAGCCTAACCCGAGATAATTGTAAGTCAAAGATGGCCCAGCTGATGTGTTGAAAGAACTGATTTTTCAAGACTGAAGTAGCCTGGTGTTAGCTCTTCACTATCAATCCAATCACTTTGTTTGCTTTCCTCCCCCTACCCCTACTCTCCACTTTCTATCTGTATAGAGAAGTATAACTTCCTGGGAATCAGCATTGTAGGACAGAGCAATGACCGGGGTGATGGTGGCATATACATTGGCTCTATTATGAAAGGAGGGGCTGTGGCAGCAGATGGCCGAATTGAACCAGGAGACATGCTTCTGCAGGTTGGTCCGTGTCCAAAAATACATGCTGCTGGCTTGTACCTTGGGGGCTCACCTCAGTCATCCCACCAGATCCATGGACGTAGTAATTAGTTAATAGAATTCATTCATACTCAGAGAAATGTGTCACAAAGACTGTTATCACTTAAATCTGTATGTCTTTGTGAACTCTGCTGGAGAGTTGCTCTTCTCTGAGAAGCAGTATTTCTGCAGCTGCTCAAAGGAATGGAAACAGTTGCAAGGCAAATAAATTTGCAAACAAATAACTGCAATGTCTTTAACTTTCCTGTTGCAAAGCCTGACCTCTGCTTTCTGCAATGTTTCAGGTGAATGATGTCAATTTTGAGAACATGAGCAATGATGATGCAGTACGGGTTTTACGGGAAATAGTCTCCAAACCAGGGTGAGCACATTATAAATCTCTTGCCACTTATCCTCCATATGCAGTTATAGGTATTGACAAAACCTCAGAGAAATCAAGATTTTGATCTCAATAAGCAACCAGTGTGACTGCTGATCTCAACTCTGAACTTCTCAGTGTAAATGATGAATAGATGAGACTGGTTCCAACCTACCAGCCAAAACCAACACAAACTAGGAGTTGCCTGGTTTCAGTAGCACTATTTGTTTGTAGGATGAGTGTTTTAATGCTCAAGAGCTGATCATTCAACAGATTTCATCAATGGTGCTCATGATCTATGCAAAACCAGAAACATCCTGATCCTAGTTTATACTGAAAATACTTCGACAAGCATCTCAAAAGCATTCTCAGAATGCACTTGACAACTCTTGTATAGGAATAAGTTTGTTTCAGAGAGTTCCTTGTAGCAGTTACAACTTCTGAAAAAAAAAAAAGTTTAGAGTCACCCTTTCTTGTTTTCTTTCTTCCTAGACCGATCAGCCTAACAGTAGCCAAATGCTGGGACCCTACTCCCAGGAGTTATTTCACCATCCCCAGGGGTGAGTACATATTTATGCTCTTTGGTGGGTTCCTGTGGAGCCCTCAAGGTCTAGAATCTTTTCTGCTATTTTGGCATCTAACAGATTTCCATTCCTACAAGTTTGATACTTTAAAGTTTGGTTGTATTGTTTGTTTGCTTTTTGTTTTGGGAGGCAGGGGTTTAAGATACTCTTTCTGAGACTCCAGCGCCCACTGAATTCATGGGAGTTTTTCTTTTGATTCACATGGCTTTGGATCAAGCTCTTAACCTTTTGGTGGGTATCCTCATGATCTTAACCTTTCAATTGATAGAAAGTTTGGAGGATAACTATACCTAAGTGTTAAAAAGCCTCATTTTATCACATGTACACTTCTTAGAAAGAATTTGAACTATTTTTTAAAATTTGAGGCAGACAACATTGTTTTAATACACAGAAAACCTCTTGAAAATGATCTAGTTTTAAAACTTTGGGCTTAATAAACCTTTCAGTAGCTATAAAAGATCTGTGCTCTTGTGACAAACACAGCTGCCTCCTACTGGTGAGTGTTCTGCTTCTGCTATTGAAACCAGTCCTGTGAAGATGAGGATAGCGTTGTCCTTTGAAATTAATGCAATAGACTCGACACCTCACTCAGTGAAGTCCTTAGGAAAACCAGCATAATCAAAAGAAAAATCCCACAAATCACATATTTCAGATTTGCTACTGGGAGAGCTTGTGTATCCCTTTGTCCTTTGTTCAGCAAAGATGCATCTGCTATTATCTGAGGCAAACAGCAGTGTATCTGCTCACAGTAATGTGTGGGATATTTTGAGAAAATACTTAACATAGGCAGAGCTCTTTTATGTAATTTCTGGTTTTAAGGCAATGGAACAACAGCCACTATGATTCCAAAGGAAAGAAGTAATACAGATTATGGGAAAAATTGAGTTTTATTCCCAGCTTTAAAAGTTACTTGCTATGTGACACTTCTTAAGGTCTGAGTGTCATTTTCACTTTTCTCTGATACCAGCCTCTTCAAATGGTCTTTTTATCTTCTCTATTTATTTTGCAAGACTATTCCAGTCCTAAACATTTCATTATGGCTGCTGAAAACACTGAGAGGGGAATTCCATGATGCAAATATAGAGCTTTAGAGTTACTGTTCTGATTCACCTTCAGCAGCACCTTCTGTCTGAGTGGTAATTATTGATCCAGGACCCTCAGAAGTAGGGAGAGATCTTCTTGTCAGCTGGGGCAAAGTATTTGGTTGTACTTCACATCATAGCAAAATGAGAATCTCGGTCTCAATGTGTGGAATAATAGTGAAATATTATTACTGGACTGGTAGTTTCTTTCCCACAAGGGGAAACATTTCACTCCTACCACAGTTACAGAACCAGGAGTGTCACGGGTTTGTCCTGTGAGGCTGTTGTGGCAGTTGCCAGAGGAAACCAACTGCTGCTGGCAAGGTGCTTTTTGTTCTCAGTTATACTATCAGAATGGCAAGGGACTTGTGCATCCTTAAAAAATTCCTTCTTACCCTAAGTCTTAATGTTTACTGCCAATCTGATTCCATTTGTCTTTTTCTCCCTTCCTGGTTGTTTTGCAGCTGAACCAGTGAGGCCAATTGACCCTGCAGCGTGGATCTCTCATACCACAGCCATGACGGGAGCGTACCCCCGTTACGGTATGAGCCCCTCCATGAGCATCACCACATCTACCAGCTCCTCACTAACAAGCTCAATTCCCGATTCGGAAAGTAAGTCACACTGCGGCCAGCACAGGGCAGGCGTCTTCTGCTCGGGGCCAGCAGTGCAGAGCTGTGCGCAAAACCGACCCCAGCCACAAGCACGATGAAAACGACAACCACCACAGAACTCTTGAATGCTTTCTGAAATCTGTAATTCTCATGGGGAGCATAAAAGCCTTTTTGCAAAGGTCAGAAGTTAAGGCAGTGGTGTTTTGCCAGGGTTTACATTCAGGAAGAGGTGGCTTCTTGTCCCTTTTAAAGTTACAAGGCAAGCCTGTATCCCCTCAGATGAATGTGAGAGCTTCCTCCTTGCATTTGACTGGTTTTTAATAAATTTAAATAATTTACTTCAGGTAGAGGTCACTGGGTAATAGTGTTAGTGTATCATTTAGGAAATCTTCCACTGATATTCACATAGCCTTCTTTTATACTTTTTTATACTTTTAGAATTTATTGAACAAGGAAGAGAGAAATGTAATATCCCACATGACATTGTGGTTGGATTCAGCCTTCTTTCCTAGTTTGTCTGTCTGTGACAGTCTCTAAACTAGTCATATCCATGGAAACAACAAGTTGTCACAATTCCTTGTCTTGGGAGTTTTTGTTTAAAGAATATAAAGTCTTTTTTTCTTTAACTCTTCCTTTGCTTTCTGATGTAAGCATGGGATAACAGCTAGCATTTGGTTTGGAACACATGGCAGTAAGGCAAGACAAAGAAACAAAGAGCATGTTTCTCTGAGACCCGCTGTCTGCTGAAGTCCACGTTCAGGAAAGTGTTCATATTTGAAACAGGAAAGTTTTGAGGTACTTTATACCTCATTAGCATGTGTTTGTTTCTTGTAATATTAATAGGGAAGAATTTCTCTAGAGATGCAACATTTCTATCAGATTTGTTCATCTATAGCAAGGAGGTTTATTATATTTGTTTATAGACACATAGAAATCTTGAAGTGGCTTGAAAGTTCTGAGGAGATTATCTCATTTGTGGAACAGTGCTACCTCAGTATGGATTCATTGAAAGCCAAAAAATACTTAGGTGTTTAATGAGGGATGCTTAAGTGTCTGCCAGATCTGGAGTCTAAATTAAGGACTGAGTCACTTTTTTAATTTCATAAATTTTTTCCAGTGAGAAAGGGAGGATATCATTAAAAAAAAAAAAAAAAAAAACAAAAAGAACAAGAAAAAAAACCCAAACACACTGAGGATTTTAAAGACCAGTGTGGTGTTGATGATCAGTGGCAGAATCTTGCCTGGACAAATGCATGGCTGAAGTGTGAACGTTGCATTTGCAGGGACCAGTTAAGTCCTATCAGCCTCCATAGGTGTCTGCCTCTTTTTCTTTTACCCTCTCTCAGATTTTATAAGCACATAGATCCTGGAATTACACCTCACCTTGAATTGAAAGGGCAGTTCTCCTTTTTGTAGGTGTAGTAGCTCAGTGACTCTTTAGATAGTGGGCAGCACCACTGAAGGGAAATACATCTGCAGTAGACAGCAAGTGAACCACTTACCTGATGACTGCTTTATCTGGAGATGTGTTTTCAGCCTTACAGGTACTAAAGATTGCTGGAATCAAATGTATCTGCTGATTGCTGTCAAACAGGAGTCTGTTACTCTGCATTCCTCTTGAACTATTCATGTATCTGTGCCTTGATATATAGTGATGTGATTGGGGAGTGCGGAACGCAGATGCCCTCTCAATCATTCTTTAAAAATAAAGGTTATTTGGGAGCAGAACCATGTTTCTGGAGACTGTAAATGGACTGAATAATTGCTTTCCTTCTGACTAGCATTCCCTTGCTCTCTAGCCTCTGGATCAAAAGTGAAGTTCTGATATCTGAAGCATTTGCACAGCCACCATCCCATCGGTGCTAGTGATTAAAGTAGCTGAGATTTTGGGGCCATACAGATCACCTTCACCCAGTAGGAATTACTCTGTGTTAGCTCTTTATTTTCTCAGGTGCATTTCTTCAGAAACAGGACTATGCAAACCAAGGCAGACTGAGGTGTTTCACAGTAATTATTGCTGTAAAAAAAATCTCATTCTTCAGCAGTGTTCTGGCTGATCCAGAATATTCCAACTCTGCTCCTCATTTACTTTGCTAAAGGCAGATTTTCCAGCCCGTTCTGCCACTGCAGGACCCCTTTCTGCAAAGCAGTGGTTTGTTGGTTGGTTTGTTTTTGTTTTTTTTTCCCCCAAACAAACATGTTGCTTTTTGCCACTAACCAAACTAACTTAAAGCAAAAGCAAAGTTTTAGTGTTTATTCAAACTTTGTAAGTGTTGAAACCGCATGCCTGGATGGTCTGAGATATTTTCATGCATATGAGCAGGGCATGTATTGAAAGAAGCATTTTCAGTTTTCATTGTTTCATGCTTGTTGTACCTTTTATCAAAATTCGGGGTTGCTGGAAAAGGACAAAATTGGTTCCCTTGTGCTTTTGAAAGGTGGGTGATCCGGGGAGCTGGGAGAAGGGAGGGGAGGAGGGTTTCTGACTTCCTGCTGGAAAAGAGTCTGAACTACGAACAGAGGACACACATGCTTGACATGAATTTCCTAGGGCTGAGAAGAGGGAGCAGGAAGGAGGACTGGGTGCTCTATCCAAAGAATAAGTTTGCCACGTGTAGACAGGATGATTGAGTTCTTCACAGAACACAAGAGGCTGGTAGACACTCAGATTCACCCCACTGGGCTTTCAGTATTAGATACCACTTTGCCTCTGTGTAAGGTAGGGAAGGAGTTTCTAAAGGAACTCAGCTCCTACAGTAAGCACCT